TCAAAGGGAAGACAATGGACAACAGGATGGTGGTGCTGGGTGTGTGCGTGTGTGTGTGTGAAGAGTGTCAATATGGGGCAGAACCAAATCCAATTGTTCAAGTCACTTTTCAATCACCCTATTCTAACGACTCAATTCAAGTTTTACGCTCATTTGTTTGGCCGGATTTATAAGAGTGCTTTGGCGTTTGAATGAAAGCACACGAGGTCAATGTTCTGTCCACATTTGTATTCTTGGATGGATGGATGGATTAAGAGAAGAAAGGAATGTTTCAAATAGCTAGCTATCCCAAGTTTAGATAGTGTATGTTTGGATTAGCCCATTCAGTTTTTCACAGGTACCAGGCACTGTTGATGATGTTAGGTGTGAGTATCACTCCCCACTGTTTGAATACATTTGTATGCATTTTCGTGCGATGGAAATGTTTGTGATAACCGACGAAGAGCAGCTGTTTCGTCCTATTTGTAACTCGTCAGCAGCGCGTACATTTTTGTGTCCCTGTCAGGACTCGAATCACAAACCTTCGGGTTAAGACTTCAAAACCCTTACCCCTGAGCTACACGGTAGACGACCATTTAAATGTACTCAAATAGTGGGGAATTAACGATCTCCCAATGAGTGAAACCCACACCGAACATCCAAACATTGATCATCTAAATTGACTGAACCATTCGCACAAGGTGATAACTATCGACCGTGTAGCACAGGGATAAGGGTTTTGAAGTGCCGACCCGAATGTTCACGGTTCGGATCCAGACACGAGAACAAAAATAATACGCACTGGGACGAGTCCCAAACAGGACGAAACAGCTGTCCTGGTGCTTTTGTCAGTTACCCAAGTCCCCAAATCATCTAGCCAGTACGATTCATCCATTGGGTTCAGTCGACAAAGCTGCACAATTGACTGGTTCTATTTTTAACTAGCGGGTATTCAATTAGTACGAACTGCAAGTTCTTTTCATTCCCTGAACTCTTCAGGATCTAAAATGATCCTAGTGACTCATCCGATCAACCAATAAATAACAGGAGAAATCCAAGAGGTTGCGGTACTAAGTCACCAACATCATAATGTAACTAGATTACGTCTGCTGGATTTGATTCCGGAATCATGACACGCATTCAGCCTAGCACTGGGTAAACAATGCAAGTTGGTTTTGATTTCACGCATTTTCCTTCACTTTTTTACGGTACACAACAGACCAGTGTAAGGGTGTTCGTTGTACTCACACTAAATACCCTTGAAAAGTTGTTTTATGTATTGGATGTTTGCTTGTTTACTGGCCTAGTGCGATTCCGTCTTTTCTTGCTGTCATTCCATGATGGGGCAGTAGGCGAACCTACCCAAAAAATAAAGACCCAGTCACAGCTTCCGTATTTAATTCCCCGGAGTTCAAACAGAATATGCGGAAAGCAGAACCAGAAGACAATTTCATCATTTTCGAATCGACTCATAATCGACACATCACCGGTTAAACTTTTCACCATCAAAGATTAAACGAATATAACAAATTCGATTCTTTGCCTAACATAATTTGACAAGCATTTCTAAATAATCAAATCGAATAGCAACCCAGCACTATCATTGTTCTTCTGGTTTTGGTGAATCTGGATCATTAAATGCCTGTGACCACGACGGATTTATTGATCGAATGTCGTTGTAGACCACTCGTAGGATAGAATTTATCAAATCTGTGATGTGACTCACAATTCCTCATCCAGACGGCGAATTTGGGCTCTGATCGATAATCAAATCATCATCAAAATGTCGACCAGTTAATCAATGTGTCTGACACGTGAATATTGGTTCAAATCGATTCGGTTGTGGTTATGACGCGAATTTGAGTGCATGCTTGCAAAACCCCTTGGCGAATATTGATCCGGCTTTCATGAGGTGCTTAATTTGTGAGAACGATTGACATAATCGGGTTGACTACTGGCCTGTTGGTACAACATCGAAACGAGATCGTTTCGATCAAAAATGAAAAAGTAAACTTTTGTCATGAATAAATTTGAGACCATTTTAAACCCCAGGGACGACTGTTTGCAGTTTGTATGATAGCGAAAGTGTTTTTTCCGAAAGACACAATCCCTGGAAAACTTAAATTAATGCAGTAATTTATCGGGAAAACGGAGTAATTTTCTTGTCTTCTGTTACGAATTCAAAACACTGTGAACTAGAAGTCATGTCTAGCTACGGCTTGGAATTACTTCGCCTCACACTGATGCTACAGGTCAACAAATTTGGGTGCTGATGGAAACTGGCTTCTAAAGTCGAACTTTAAAACTCTCGTTAGACTACAGAATTTGATTTATATCTGTCAGTTACTATTTAGTCTGTGCAGTGCCACAACCTCGAAATTAGACAGCCACGTGGTCAGCGAATATGCACGAATGTTTGTCTATGACAAATGAAATTTGAAAGCTGCACGAAAATCACGGGATTTTTGATGATTTCGTCAAGCTAAATAAATCCAAACACTCATTTTAGATGGATATAAAGAGAGTGAAAACAAAACTAGATCTGATTTTTGCTTGCACAACTACATCATCATCGTGTGCAGGTGCAAAACAGCAATTGAGAGGCTATTTGTGTTTCAAATTTGATTTTCACAAATGTCCTGACCTTGAGATTCCGTGACAGTGATGAAAACGATTGGAGATGGATGCATAAGATGGAATCCACTCCCGATTAGCCTTAAAAGCAAACCGTGGGACACTGTAAATTTGTAAATTTGGGTGATTGATTACGTAGACCGGGTAAAATGTCAATTCTCTTCGCACTCGGGAAACGGTTAACTCAGAAATACCGTGGAACGATTGTAGCTCAGCCTATGGATGTTACTGTTGCACTGATAATGTTGCTTAGCCTGGCTACGAAACGTCTGCGAACAACACACTCCCAGCTCGGAGAACACACCAGAAACAGTGACAACGGTTAACTTACAATGCCACCCAGGTGTCTTGGGAATAGAATTAACGCAAAGAGTATTAAAAGGCCAGCATGGCGAGCAATTTGTCTTTATTGGATATCTTAATCAGCGGTAGCCCTGTGAAACCGGGTACTGCAGTAAGACTCTTTTCACAGCGCTCGTCGATCAATACCTTTGAATAGAAGACGACGGGAAAATCTAGAGTTTTTTCTGATTTTGCGGATGAGCTAGTTGCTCGGAGTCTCCGTTTTCCCTGACACTACTTTTGATTTGATTCTTTCGTCCTTTGATCCCATTTACCGTGCGTCTGAGCTGAGTGCCACATAGATCCAGTCCATGTCAGCTTTCTGGGCACCCGTGTTGCAGTTAGCTGGCTCATCTCCCTTCGAGGCTTTGAGATGTAGTAGGACGGCTAGGGCACAGATTTCCTCGTTTTCTGAAGGGAATTGAATGAACCACCGGAGGAGATACAGCTTTGTTTTCGCAGCACAACACACCGAAACCGCATACACCTCGCATTCATGTCTACATTGCCAATCACACTCATTCATGACATTAACTGAATTAAAGAATGACAAAATAACTGTCGGAGCAGCCAGCTTAAATACTAACCGGTGAATGTCATGTGCCTCTGTAAGTTAGATGGATAATTCGAATGTGAAGAGATCAATGCTATTTGTGCGGCCTCGTAGGTCAGCTGGTAGAGCGTACGCTGTAGAAAAAGCGTAGGCAGCGTTCATGCGTGTGTTCGAATCCCACCGAGGCTACTGAACTCTTCACAACCTCAACATAAGAAAGATACTGTTAGTCTTCCACGTGGTTCAAACCGGTTGGAGGATGAACCATTGAAAATAAGTTTTCACCATTTAATCTGCATTCTCATATTTGTATACCGAGCAATCATAAATGCTTAATATTTAAAACAAAAATAAACAGATACGAGTGCAATCGGTGTTATTTTATTTCGTTGAGACCGGACATCAGCTCGAAATCATGCGGTTCTAATCATCCACACAAGAAGTTCTCCCAAAGTCTCTCGCTCTCTCGCTCACTGGTACCACCGGGTACAATTTTCTCCGTTTTCGCATCTCGTTTAGTTACTCCATATGAAATCAAACAAAATGCTCACCGTGAAGAAAAAACAACCAGCCCGATGGGATCGTCGTGCCATGCTCGTCTGTCTGGAGGACTATGGAAGCGAAGGTTCCTGGTTCTGTGTAAACCCTTTCTACAAGCACAGACAGAATGGAGATCCGGTACGTCAGTAAAGAAATTAACTGAGATTTATTTAAATTTACTGTTTGAGATCAACGCTTGCGCACCGACTGGCTATACCACCGCCACCACCATCTTGTTTACCATTTAGGTGATGCTCGGGGATCGCGTTGTTCTGACTTCAGTTCATACAGGACAAGTGTTGAATGTGACGCAGACGGTGCTCGGAGATGAGCTGATGCAGACGGAAGTGAATGCATTATTGGGTTCGAGCTCTTGTTGGCGTATTCACCTTTACTTATCATACGAAGACAATCGAGAGGAATTTCTCAAAGGTGTAAGTTCGCATTATATCTGTGAGTTTCTGATCAAACCATGCCCACACCAGAGATGAGATAGGAGTATAAGTTGAAATTAGCGGTGCCGTATAATCAAGAACCCTCAGAGGATAATCCTTCCATGGTATTCTTCCCGGACAAATTTAAATAGAGACCCGGACTGAGACAAAGCATTCAACTCACAAATGCAACAGTATTTTTGTAGTTGATCTTTTTGGATGAATGATTGCGAAACCAGTTACCAGAAAGGGGTTGCGGTCAGGAAGAGAGCTTTCTCATACAAAAAAATTCAAACCATAGTGAACTTGACGTCTTGATCATTTNATATAGCATGTTTTACCAATTGCCGTCCTCTACCGTAATAAATCTACCGAAATCCCTCCTAACTGAAGCAATGGAAAATACTGAACAACGAAGTATTTACAATGCTATTCCAAGGATTTCCATAGTGCGACAGAAAAAGCACATTTTTGGATATATACTTAGACTACTGATGAGTAGAAATAACCAGATGTAACATTTTATTTCAAATTTGCCTCAGTTACATGTGAGTTTTGCATATTGATTGCTAAATTGCATTTGCTTACTTCTGTTCAGGGTGATGTTATTAGACTTTTCCATACGGAAAACGAAAAGTTTCTCACATGTGACGAATACACCGGCGGACAACACGTCTTTCTGCGCACCACGTTCCGAACCACGGCCACAACAGCCACAAGCTCCAAAGCGTTGTGGGAAGTGGAGGTAAGTCTGTGATCTAATTTTTGTCACAAACACACAAACACACACACAAAACGAGTCAAAATCACTCACTTGCCATTATTATTTTTTAATAGTGCTTGTTCACTACTAACACGGTGCACTGTGTCAGTAGTAGTTGTTGAGTTCAAACAAATCTGGGCTACGATAAGAATTCCGAATTCCTTCATAGAAAATCGGGCCCAGGAGGTGCGTTTGAATTATCAGCGCGGAAAATCCCGTCAGGGGATTGCTGCACGTCCATGGAAACGTGCAATTGTGTGAATCCTCATGAGGAAACCGTACATCCTAGTTTGCACAATGTATCCGGAATCATTAGGAACAAAATTTCGGGTGAACATTTGTTTTCCATAACTCATAGTCATGCAGTTACAGTCTGCATGAAGGGGAAAACCCAAGAGATTGGGAGGAGAACAGTAAAATGTGAGGAATCGTTCACTTCGTGTGTTTGTGTGTGTGTGTTGCACACCGCATTCTCAGATCTGTGCTTCCGGGGTTCTCAGTTATGTCACGTTGGTCGTGTGATCCAGTTCTGAGCGATCGGTGTTGTGTTGTTTAGCATAGGGGAGGAGTGGGTTCGCGAGACCAAGGGAGATGGACAGCTTGGATAAGATGCTTGTTGGCACATAGTTCGGGGTCAACCGCTTAATATAGATGATCTCAGCTCTGGTAAACTTACGCATTCTGACATATCTGGACTGGTTCTGACGGAACTGATAAATAATGCGTAATGCTTTACTTGGATTAACACGATGACCAGTGTCTACCAAGTGAGCGCAAATCGCAATTGAGATAGATCCGTAACCAACTCTACTCAACCAGCGCGGATGGTGTTCTTTCATGCGGATAGATAACTGCCGTGCCGTACGACCGACGTAGAGCGCGTCACAAACGCATCTGAACGAGTAAACAATCATTGAAGCGGTCAACATCGGTAGCTTGTCTTTATTCCGTATGGATATCAGTGGCAAACTTTTCAAAGAGCAGTGTAAGTGCGCGGCGTTGAACACGGCTCTAACAGCTCGGCTGAGTCCTCTTATGAGGGTTTCACCGCCAACTCCACCCTTAAAGGGGAGACTAATGAACAGGTCCTTCTTTGATACTCTATCAGTGAGTACTTTTGGTACCTGTTCCGCCATATTGCGTTGAATGAACCGGTCGAGGTAGTCATTGCTTCCGAGCACGTCGAAGATAAACTTGAGTTCATCTTCCAATACTTCTTGTGAGCAGATTCTCCGAACTCTAGATACCAAATATTTTATCAAGTTCCTCTCCAGATTAATCGGGACTTAACTGTAAACATTTTTGTATTGGCCACTCCATGTTTTCTTATGGTACACACGGCGTTGTATAGATCCATGACGTCTTCTGCTGAGGAGTAAGTACATCTAGAAACGTATTCGATCATCCGCTTCTACCACCTTTGTAAATTTTATGGCCTTGTGTGCGAAGTTGAACTTTTCTAGCAACTGATCCAGTTCGCAGTTCGAATCAGTTATACAAAACTTGTCGTCTACAAACCGACAATATTTGTGAAGACTATAGTCCCGGTGCCTTTCAATTGGTTATTCTCCAGAATCGCCACGAAAATGTCCGCCTAAAGGGGTCCGAATGGTGATCCCATTGCTAATCCGTCCTTTTTGTCGGTAGACCGTTCCATTGAAAAGAAATCGAACGTTATACGTACACCGAGATAAAAGTTCGCCGAGCGCTTCTGTGGGTATCCCCAAATTAATTTCATTATCAGTAAGATGTTTCATGATGAACTGGATGGTTTCCACTAATGGCACATTAATGAAAGTGATGTGATATCGATGGACAGCACCATCTTATAGAACGCGTCTATATCTTTTGTTACTTCAATAAATTGGAAGGTATCCTTAGCACTGTATACGAATAACCGGTTCCCTTCGGGTTCAGGGATTTCAACCAGCCATTGGGCGACAGCATGCTATGAAAAATTTGTCATCCATAGGACAGGACGAAGAGAAATCTGAGCTTTATGGATTTTTGGCAAACCATATAGCTTCAGAATGCATGAACCGGTAGGTCTCATGCATTCATGTGGTTCGCTGCTAATGTAACCCTCTTGATTGAGTCGTTTCAATATCCCCGTGATTTGTTGTTCAGTCTGGTGTATTTTGTATTTTTTTGTTGGTATGGTTGTGAACTTGTCCTCTTCCGATACGGTAGCTAGCAGTTCGTCTGTATATTCCCTCTGGTCCATGACCACAATCCCGGTGCCTTTATCTGGGCGACTGAAAATTATATCTTTATTATGGGTCAGTTCACGTCCGGAATTGTGTTTTGAACGCGAGTATAGGCATATTTCGAAATTTAAAATGTTGCACAGAGACCAACGTGGTGAAAGGATTGAATCGGTTCGCTGCGTTTTCTGCGCGAATTGAAGACGCAAACAATCGTGTTGAATTCATTCATGACTGTATTCAAACGAACTGTTAGCCTCACCATTATTGGAAAGTTTTACGTCGATATGGAATTTATCCAAATGCTAAAACATTGTGGTTTCATACCCTTAATGAATGTGACACCATTCGCTCTAAATTGACAAACTCTGAACGGAATATATCACAGCGCCAGCATATCGTGGAAACTAGAATATCTCAATCATGTGCGCACTAAAGTTCAAATAAGGAAAGAGAAGTGATTGTCCTGCCTGACGTGAACGTTGGACAAACAGATATCGCAATGCAGTTTCCCCAGTCAACCTGAGAGTTATGTCCATAATCTGTTTAGTCAGACACGAGATTTGGTGCCTAGTTCGATCAAAGAGATGAAAGCTTTCAAATAAACTCTCGTTAACACTTGCTTTTTATAGCACAGAGCTGAATCGTACGTGGCCGGCCCCGTTACTAAAAAACACATCGAGGCACTACGTGAACTGACCCATAACAAAAATATAATAGTCGAACAATATTCGGTTCGGTGGATTGTGAAGAATCAAAGACAGACAAGGAGAGAGAGAAAAGGCCTAAGTGAATTAACCCCTTTATGTATTCAGTGCATACAACAATTTCATACCAATATTTAGTCGGTTTGTAAAAGAGTTATGCATTAGGCAGTATATCGTCGATCGTATCCGAAACAAGGGACATTACCGTTTCTGTGTTGATTAAAGGAATTGAACGATTTGGATTTTTTGGATGAACACACAAATGGGGCCAAGTGTCTTTTTTTCTTCATAAAACAACCATCTATGGCCTACATCATAAGTAATACGCATCATGGCAGCTCCAAACCAACAATGCCTTTCTATGTGGCAGCTACAGATGAGCATTTGTTGTATACATCACGATGAATTTTGTTATATAGGGGACAGAGAAAACATGAACTGAACACAAAGGTGTTTCGAGTTTGTTCAGTCTCATCAGCAATCTACCCAATGGGAGATCGAACCAGATAACTCACAAGTAGAATGCAAGCATACCACCCACCGGGAAACTGTATTACATTGCATCGTATTGTGTATAACTTTTGCAAGCACTGGAGCTCACATTTCAGTTGAAAATCACACACGCTAACCGTCACAATGTACATAGCAAACTATGAAAAAGTTTCACAAACATGAGGATATTTGATAACCCAAGGTTAAGACGAAGTTCACTCATTTTCCGCTCTTTCTTTGTGAGTAGACGAGCAAGATACGGTATGGGTGAATTGCGGTATACATTAATTCGAGATGAAATTTGGCGTGTTGAATGATGGGAACGACAAAGTGTCAGTTCTGCGTGCAATGGGTGGTCAGGATCCGTGAGAATCCTCTCAATAAATTTAACATAGGAAGTTAAGTGATACTCCGAAAGCTTTACAGCTAACTTATTCACAGGAATGGAAGAGATACGACTAATAATGGTTACACCGCGTCGTAAGACTTTGAAGTCCTGTTTGAGTAAACCAGGAAAAATAACCGGGGAACAGTAAAGTAAGATGGGGAAAACACATTGATAAACAAAAGTAGAAATAACTGACTGGGATGCACGAAACTGCCTGAGCTTTCACATTTGAATTGAAAGGCGTCGCAGTTTACCAATGCAGTTGTGGATGTGGGTTGACCAATGAAGATTACTGTCTATGGTTACACCAAGATATTTGACAGAATTCACCCTGGATAAAGGATTGCTATTAATCACTGCGAGGTCTGTCGGATATGGAGAGCGAGCAAAACTATATAAACACTCAACACATTTACTGGGGTTCAGGGTTAGCCCCGATGAGGAGGAGAATGACTGAATTTGATCAAGATTATCGGTAAAAGAGCTTAGATCAGAGTAAGAAGAAATGGGTTGGCACAACACGATATCATCTGCATATTTCAAAATTCGTGTGGGAGAAACCCAGGGAATATCACAAATACAAATGGAAAGTAAGTATGGGGATTGCACTGCTCCTTGAAGAATCCCGGGGTTGTTCAGTAAGAGGATAGACGAAGCCTTTCCCAATCTAGTGGTCTGTACTCTTTCAGTAAAATATTTGGATAGCCAAGCCAGCAACTGCTTGGGGCATTCAAAAGATTCCAGTTTTTGTAATATCTAGGAATGGAATCAAATGCAGAAGAGTAGTCGAGAAAAACAAACAAAACAGACTTAACAGAACTGTTCAAAGATTTAATGATAAAATGAATGAGAATGGTGACTGCGTCCAAAGTGGATCTATTAGGCTTGTAGGCAAACTGTAACGGATGTTATAGACGTTATAGATATTATAGAATGTTTATAGATTCCTCAAGGCGTTTGAGGATGGCTTTTTCAGTCAATTTAAGAGCTGAAAATGTTAATGCTATGGGACCAAAACGTTTGGAGAGGATAGAAGATTTGAATGCTTTGGGGATTGATATGATTGCGACCGGCCTCCAACAGTCGGGGATAGTAAAAGTGTGAAGGGGTTCATTTATAATGGAGGTAATTGCCACAGCTAGGGAAGCAGCACCAAATTTGAAGAGGGCTGGATGTAAGCCATCTGGGCCTGCAGCACAAGAC